GTGCTAGCTATCAACTAATTCACAAGGATTAACTATACTTTGATATAAAATTGAAACTAGTTAACTATATTGCTAACTGCACTAACTGTACTAAGAAATCCTAAAATACAGAATCATTTACTGTACCAACTTAAGTATTACCATCACGCATATAATATAGTATACAGTGATAAATAACACATTGATCTATTAATCAATACCCAAATTAACATTATTAAATTAGTATATACTAATTGCTACTAATTACACTAACAATCGAGAATTGATATTGACAAAAATTTTTTAGAGTACTTTAGAAACATATTCATAAAATACCAAAACAACATAATCAATACATTAATAATGACAATAAAAAACATAACAACCTAATATCGCTGTGAAATGGCGCTAATTTAAATGTTTTAAATGATTCAAAGAATAAATGATAACATAGTTAAACTAGAACTGTTCTAATAACAGTACTGATGCAGGGCGGGTTACGACATTCAGGTACATACGAAGATGGTCTATTGCAATTATTTAATGTAAATACCTTTCTGCATCTCTAAATGCAAATATCCAAAAGTGCCTGGAGTTTAAAGTATATTTACTAGGAATAAAAGAATATTTGTCAATTAATAAAGACTAAGTTTGATGAAATCCGGATAAGAAATAAGAAAGTTGGTAATGTGCATGCGCTCAACAAAAATTCAATATTTCCATCAAATTTAGAATTGAATTAAACACATACATATTCAGTTTGGTGAAATTCGGATAAAAAATAAGAAAGTCGGTAATGCGCATGCGCACAACAAAAATTAAAAATTTCCATCAAATTTAGAATTGAATTATTCACATACATACCAAGTTTTATGAAAATCGGAAAAGAAATAAGAAGGTTGGCAATGCGCATGCGCACTACTCAAATTCGATAATTCCATTAAATTTAGAACTTGATTATACACATACATACCAAGTTTGATGAAAATCGGATAATACGTAAGAAAGTTTGCAATGCGCATGCGCACTACGCAAATTCGATAATTCCATCAAATTTAGAATTTGATTATACACATGCATACCAAGTTTGATGAAAATCGGATAAGAAATAAGAAAGTTGGTAAATTAAGTGGAGGTATACCTTCAATATGCTGCCGTGAGCTTAAACTAAAATATGACATGATTCAATCCACCTAAAAGCTTAATTTTAATTATCATTTTTAAGAAATATAAAAGGGAGGGTATCTTTAAAACAACTTAAAATTTGATTTCTGTTGGGGTTGACAGCCAGGTTAATCTAATTAGCCGATTTATCTAATAATAACCCCATGTTAAGTGAATGGAGTTTTGAATTTGCATGTAAAGTATGCATGTTATATATCTATGGAAAGCTGGGAATCTCTACATTACAAAATCGAAAGAATTATTGCCATATCTCTATTAGGGACCGAGATAGAGCACTTTAAAGGCTCAAAATGGTCCATAATTTAGACCCCTTTAAAATCGGAAATAGGTATCTGACCCCAAAGGTCAAAAGGTCAGCAGATAGACATCACAGTAAATATGGAGGTCATCAAAGGTCAAGGTCATGAGATATACGCCTTCAAACTTTGAAAAAAACAATCCGGTCGTACAAAAAAGGCAAAACCGAAAATCAAAATTATGCTTCCTATCATTTGTAGACAAACATTAAACGTATCGTTTGACACAAACGTTACGCATATCGGATTAAAAATGAATTCTGGGAATCGATTTGGACAAAAATGAGGCAAACCGATATTGCGACAAACATGTTACTTCCGGTACGATTTTTATTAGTTTAAAAGGTTTGTATTAAGGCTGGTAATATAATGCATATGTTACTTTTGACATAAATCAATTCCACCGGAAGTGACGCCACCGGAAGTACTAACATCGAAACCGGAAGTAATGAACAAATTTTGAATGTGTGCTTTTATTCCACTTTGCTGGCGGTCTACACCATGTAAGTTTCAAGTCAATCCGACAAATAACAACCGAAATAGTATTTTTCGATTAATTTCGGCAAAAGAAGTATGCAACGAATTTTACAAGAAATACACGAAACCCGATCAAAATCGGTTGATAAACATGCCCTCTAGAGGCGATTTTCTGTTTGTTGCAAACGTCGCGTAATGTTGCTCAGAAAATTTTCGTTTTACATTCATTCCACAATTCTCCACACATGGTGAAATCAGTTTTGCCGTACCCGTTGCCGTTTCCGAGAACTAAGCTCCCGGGATGAAGAAAAAAAAAATTAAACAGTTAGAAAACAATGAACGAACGCCCTGCAAAAAAAATTAAAACTAGAACTGTTCTAATAACAGTACTGATGCAGGGCGGGTTACGACATTCAGGTACATACGAATATAGTCTATTGCAATTACATTGATGTAAATACTTTTCTGCATCTCTAAATGCAAACATGCAAAAGTGCCTGGGGTTTAAAGTATATTGACTAGGAATAAAAGAATGTTTGTCAATTAATAATAAGACCAAGTTTCATGAAATCCGGATAAGAAATAAGAAAATTGGTAATGCGCATGCACACAACAAAAATTGGTTATTTCCATTGAATTTATAATTGGTTTATACACACACATAGCAAGTTTGATTAAATTCGGATAAGAAGTAAGAAAGTTTGTAATGCGCATGCGCACAACAAAAATTCAATATTTCCATCAAATTTAGCATTGGATTGTACACATACATACTAAGTTTGGTGAAATTCGGATAAGAAATAAGAAAGTTGGTAATGCGCATGCGCACAACAAAAATTCAATATTTCCATCAAATTTAGAATTGGATTATACACACGTCATACGTACCAATTTTGATGAAATTCGGACAAGAAATAAGAAAGTTAGAAATGCGCATGCGCACAACAAAAATTAATATTTCCATCAAATTTGGAATTGGGTTATACACATACATTCCAAGTTTGATGAAAATCGGTTAATAAATAAGAAAGTTGGCAATGCGCATGCGCACTACGCAAATTCGATATATCCATCAAATTTAGATTTCGATTATACACATGCATACCAAGTTTGATGAAATTCGGATAAGAAATAAGAAAGTTAGTAATGCGCATGCGCAATACGCAAATTCGACATATCCATCAAATTTAGAATTGGATTATACACATACATACCAAGTTTGGTGAAATTTGGATAAAAAATAAGAAAGTTGGGAAATTATGTGGGGGTATGCCTTTAATGTGCTTCTGTAAGCTTTACTTACAGTATAACAAGGTTCAATCCATCCTAGAACCTATTTATATAGCTTAAATGGACACAAAACATTTTAAAGAAATATGATAGGGAAGGTGTCTTTAAAGCTACTTAAACTTTGATTTATATTGGGGTTGACAGCCAGGTTAATCTAATTAGCCGATTTATCTAATATTAGTCCCATGTTAAGTGAATGGGGTTTTGAATTTGCATGTAACGCATGCATGTTTTATATCACTGGAAACCTCGGAATCCCTACATTACAAAATCGAAAGAATTATCGCCATATCTCTATAGGCCTTTTCACGATAACGTAGCGCCCCCTGCTCGCGCATGCGCACAAACACCTATGAGTGGCTAGCAACACGGATGTAAACAAACGCACGTCAAAATGGTGAAAACCTGCTGTGTTTACAAGTGTCATAACAGGTTTAATGTTGAAGCTAAGTCCAGAGGCATAAGTTTTTTTCCGTTTTCCGAAGAATAAAAGACAGCGCAATACTTGGATCAAAAGCCGTGAATAGAAAGGACTGGCTACCGAACAATAATACTTGGATTTGCTCGGAACATTTTCTTGATGGCTGGCATGGTTATGAACCTACCGATGGTAATTATTCTCCTACCATTTTTGCTTACAAAGAGACGGAGAAGAACGTGTCGTAGGTTGCGAGAGAATCTAGACATCTAGTTCGTGAAAAGTCGCAGGTTAGTTTCTTTTTGTATTTTGAAGGAAAAAAAGAGTGAAAATAATCAAGACAATCTCTGAATCTGTTAAAAATCATCATCATTTACAATTATGATTAATGGCTTGTAGGCCCTAGCCTACTACATGTAGCCTATTGATTGATGTCTATTTATAATTTAAATGTAGATCTAGTACTATTAGGGGGGTTTCAACCCCTGGAAATATCAAATATGCATTATATGGCAACTATCATTTCCACAAACCACAGCAACCTGCCCATTTACAATTTTGATATGTTTCTGATATCTTACCTGATAGTCAATCTGTAATTAAATCCGAATATTTCCATATTGTGCATATTGACCTGCTTCGCATATATTTTCTATGAATTTTAATAAAATTTTTAGGAAACCTTACATGCAGAGAAATTAGTTAGACAACAGTACGAGATANAACAACAGGTATCATCCTACTCAGTATTCATCCTACTGTATGGAGG